ACACACACACACACACACACACACACACACACACACACACACACACACACACACACACACACACACACACACACACACACACACACACACACACACACACACACACACTTTTTGGCCGCAATGCATACCGTCACAATTTTCCCTGTGCTAATGTACATAGAAATGTCGCTCGCGTCGCGCGAGAGATGTGTATGGTAAAATCAGATAGAAACATTTCACTTTGGCTGCGGCATCTCTCCGCAGTTTTTTCCTAGGCTAATGTAAATGAAATGGCGTTCGCGTCGCTGGTTGCCCTTGCGATCCAAAGATAAATATATTCGGGCGACCTTAGACGTTCAAAATTGGCGGGGGCATGCCCGCGAGAGACGTGCAAAGTAAAATCCGATCAAAAATCTCCACTTTGGCCGCAGCATGGTCCCATGATAATCCATGATGATCTTTTCCCCATGATAATCTACATTAAATTTCGCTTATCGTGAACGTCGACTCATTGCGGCGCGATGCTGCGAGCTGAGGTAAATCGATATAGATCGGGTTTTACCATGCACACGGCACACGTGCCGTCGGCCAGCCGGTGACCAGTTTGAACGTATGTGATCGGCTGAATAAAATGATCTTGGCAATCAACGGCGACCGATGCCTTCAATAAGTGATTTCATACTGAATGATTCGTATTTTGATTCTAAAATCTATTTAAGATGGAGCCGGGCTACCCACGAGTAGATTTATGCGATAAATATCCATCGCCATGCCTCTGGTAAAAGAGGGCACGACGCCCTAGCCTGCAGGGTTTCTCGGACAGAGTGTTTCTGGCAGCAGTTTCTCAGATACAAGTAGGGCCTACATGTATATATTTGTCCAAATCCTCGTCATTTTAACAGATACTGGGCATATATGCAACCCTGTATATTACCACCTGGTACATTAGAAAATATTCAAGAATTTTATATATGCCGAATAGTCTAGTGTTCGGGTTTGCGCATGCGCAGTTTCTGACTGAATGATTTATATTTTTGTTTTAAAATACATTTAAAATAGAGCGGGGCTACCCTCGAGTAGATTTGCGATAAATATCCATCGCAATGCTTCTGGTAAAAGATGGTACGACGCCCTAACCTGCAGGGTACCCCGGACAGTGTGTTTCTGGCAGCAGTTTCTCAGATACAAGTACATGTATATATTTTTTGTGGATTTACTCGCCATTTTAACAGATACTGGGCATATGCAACCCAGTACACTACCGCCTGGTACATTAGCAAATATTCAATAATTTAATCTATGCTGAATAGTCTAAAATCCGGGTTCGCGCATGCGCAGGAGCTGACTGAATGATTTATATTTTGATTAAAAAATGTATTTAAAATAGAGCGGGCCTATCCGCGAGTAGATTTATGCGATATATCTTTATAGCCATGGCTCTGGTAAAAGATGGTACGACGCTCAAGCCTGCCGTGTACCCCGGACAAAATGTTTTTAGCAGCAGTCTCTCAAATACATGTGCGTGTATATACTCGTTGAATTACTCGCCATTTTAACAGATACTGAGCATATGCAACACTGTATATGACCGCCTGGTACATAGGCAAATTTTCTAGAATTTTATCTATGCTGAATAGGCTAAAATTCTGGTTTGCGTATGCCCAGTAGCTGACTGAATGATTCATATTTTGATTCTAAAATGTATTTAAATTGGAGCGGAGCTATATATTTAATATCAGGAGCGTATAATGACAAATATATTGTCATTTGTCATTTGTCATTATACGCTCCTGTTAATATATATATTATGTGTGTGTGTGTTGTGTGTGTGTGTA